CGGGGGAGGGAGAACTCCCTGGGCTCTGTGGTGAGGACACCCACCTGCATGGGGACCTTTCCTTTCCTTCCAGCATGGTGATTGGTCATCATCCTCTGCCTGCCCCTCAGTGTACCTTCCTGGCAAAGGCAAGGCCTGCCATCGAGGCTAGGGTAAGGTTCAGGTTGGTGACAGCTGGCTGGCATTTGGCATGCAATTGTGGGCCATTTCTGTTTGGTGTCTGGCAGTTTGAAGACCCCATTTCTTTGTCTGGACATCACCCCCCTGCTCCCTTCGGTCATCCAGTAGGCCACCCTCTAAGTTCAGTGACCATCAGGGTTGGATGGGGCAGTGCAGGGCCTTGAAAGGAGATCTGTTCTTGGAGTTGGGAGACCTGCCGCCAATGAACTGTGTGATCTTGCTCTCTTTGGGCCTCAGTCTCCTCGACTGTAGATGGGGGTTAGATCAGGTGGGCTTCAAGGTCCCTCCCTGGGCTACATTTTATGCTGCTTCTTGATTTAAACCACTGAGCCACAAATGAAAGGTTCTAGTTGTGGCAGTGTAATTAGGCTCAGCAGATGGGTGAGTTGAGAGGGAAGGCGATGTTCTTGCCCATAGGACCATCCTTTCCCACCCCTTTCATTGTGCCTCCCTGGTGTTTTCAGAAAGCAAATGACAACCCTTGTTTTTCTCTGCTTTCCCACTTCAGACCTATAATCTTCTTGTATCTCCATGAACTTGTATTTTCTGTTAGACAGCCGTGATGCAGAATTTAGGTTACAGTGTGCTGTTTTCTCTCTGTTGTGGTGCATGTGGTGGGGGTCGGAGCCAATCACAGCTGGTCCCTGGGGAGAGGGCTGTGTCAGAGATTGATTGTGCTGGAGCTCCAGGGTTTTTTTTGTTTTGCTTTGTTTTTTCTTTTTGGCCAGTCAGATTTAGCAGTCAGAGGTTATAGACCAACTTTAGTGGTGACACTAATGTTACTAAGTTCTGATATCCCACTACCATCAGATCCCAGGTTTTTTTGTTTTGTTTTTTTAAATAATCCCCAGTCTCAGTTTTGCTGATTTTAGTTAAAACCAAAGATTGTGAAGGAGGCAGATTCTTGCCCTCTGAGTTTTGGAGATTTGTCATGTGGTCGAGGGGTGAGGGTCCCCTCTCTAATTCCCTTTGCTTGAAGCCTTTTACCGTGGGAGGGCAGAAATGAGCTTTGTTGAACATCAACTCCCTTGTGAGAGGAAGTAGTTCTGAATACTGTTACATTATTGATTGGTATCTCTTTAGTAAGTACTAAAAGCCATTTTGGTGCCAGCGTCTTCCTTTCACCTTCAGATAAAATGTTTCATCTTTCATTCTCTAAAAAAGGTTTTAAAAAACTTTTAGCATATTTTAAGAATAATTAAAGGCAGTAATTTCTGGATCCTGCTGTTGCTGCCTTGGCTGCTCCTCCTTTTCCCCTCCCATTCCTCTACATTAGTGTAGAAATATGTCGAAAATGTCAGTGTTTCTTGCCATTAGTTTTCTATTTTGACCCTCCCCTTGTGAAGTAAGCAGGGAGTTGTTACTCCCGTTTTACAGAAGAGAAATTTGAGATGTGGCAAGGTTAAGTGACTTGTCCATGGTCACACAATAGTTGATGATGAATTGGGAATAAGAATCCAGGACTTCTGAATACTAGTGACCTGTTAACTTGCCAACGCTGTTCCACCCCCAGGTCCCGCCCTTACACACCTGCCATTGGGAAAGTCTTGCCGCCATGGCTTACAGTGTTTGTCGTGCCCCTGCCCTCCACACTCTTTTTTTTTTTTTTTTTTTTTTGAGACAGAGTCTCACTCTGTTGCCCTGGCTAGAGTGAGTGCCGTGGCGTTAGCCTAGCTCACTGCAACCTCAAACTCCTGGGCTCAAGCAATCCTCCTGCCTCAGCCTCCCGAGTAGCTGGGACTACAGGCATGCGCCACCATGCCTAGCTAATTTTTTCCATGTATTTTTAGTTGTCCAGATAATTTCTTTCTATTTTTTTTTTTAGTAGAGACGGGATCTCGCTCTTGCTCAAGCTGGTCTCGAACTCCTGAGCTCAAACAATCCACCCGCCTCGGCCTCCCAGAGTGCTAGGATTACAGGCATGAGCCACCGCGCCTGGCCTGCCCTCCACATTCTGAAAGCACAGATCAGGAGCCAGTTCCTTAGCTGGTGGGGGAGGTGGTTAAACAGTAGGAGCCAGTTCCTTAGCTGGAGGAAGGAGAAAGGTGGCATGAAGACCAGACTTAGTTTTTCTTCCTGTAGGTGCGAGAACTACTTATTTCAAAGGGAGTCAGGAAAGTGAGTAGAGTCAGCATTTCTTTTCCTTGCCAAATGGATTGAATTTCCAGTGGCCCCTATTAATCTACAAGGCACTGTTAATCTGCCCCAATAGATCCATCATCAAAAAGGAGTGCGGGGAGACAGGTTTGTACCTGGGGCAAAGGGCTCTTCACATAGGGTGTGCCATCTTCATGTGTGATTGAGCCCTGGTGTGTTAAATGCCTCATACTGGCATCTTACCCATGTTTGTAAGTTGCCTCCCTTGAAGGTATTGAACTTTTTGAATAGATAATACAGCATCATGGTTAAGTTAGAGGTTTATTCTCTCTGCCTGGATTTGAATTCTGGCTGTGCTACTTACTGGCTATGTGACCTTGGACAACTTACTTCACCTGTCTGTGCTTGAGTTTGCTCAGTTCCTCTAATTGTGGGGTTGTAGATTAAATGTCTTAATAAAGGTAAAGCACTGAGAAGAGTGCACAGTGTTGTGAGGAGGGCGATTTTCCTTCCATCCAGCCCTCCTTGCCTCACCCCCTCATGCACACTCTGTGTACTTCTTTGATAGCAGCTTTTGGAGCCTGCGTTTCCAGCCAGCCTGCAGAGCCCTCCAGGCAGCTGTAACCTCATCCAAGTTTTAGTTGTGAGGTCCGTCTGCATTTGACATATTTCTAAATGTCATCACTGGGCTCCTTTGTGGAGAGACCTGGGAGAAGGGACAGCAGAGGGCATGCACTGTGCACTCCCAGCCACACATGCTCTGGGTCCCCACACCTGAGGGACTGGGGGCTTAGCTTGTGAGACTTAGCTGCATCTTTTAGCAGGATGAGAATATTGACCTGTTGCCCCAGTCTGCTTGGGCCACTATAACAAAATACCGTAGACTGGATAGTTTAAACAATGGTAATTTATTTTCTCACAGTTCTGGAGGCTGCAAGTCTGGGATCGGGGTGCCAGCACGGTTGACTTCTGGTGAGGGCCCTCTTCCTGGCTTGCACATGGCTGCTTTCTCACTGCGTGCTTACGCAGCCTTTCCTCGATGTGTGCACGGGCGGGGGATGGCGGGATATCTTCCTCTTCTTACAAGGTCACCAATCCTATCTGATTGCAACCCCACCTTTATGATCTCATTTAACCTTGATTACCTCCTAAAAGCCTTATCTCAAAATACAGTCACACTGGAGTTTAGGACTTCAGCATATGAATTTGGGGGCACACAGTTCAGTCCCTAGCACCAGTGTGCGAGTTACCAGTGTGGAGAATCAGTAACCTCACGTCCTCTTCGGCCCCCTGTGCTGTGTTATTTGTAAGGCAGTGTTGGACCTCCCCATGTGGGGTGGGGCAGGGAGGGAATTAGGTCTCCATCTGCTGCCTCCTGGAGGTTTGGGATAGAGAGGGTGAAGGCAGAGTGGAGGATCATGCTTATTTCTGCCCTTCAAGCTCAGAGCTGGGGAGTATGGGGCGGGGGGCACTGACATGCTGATGTGTAATGAAGGCTTGTCTTCTCACCTGTGCCATCCGTTTGACTAGGGAATGAAATCCAGTGAGACACAGTGGAAGCTCTCTTCACTGCCCTCCTCTTGGCTAACTCACAGGAGTAGTGAACACTCTTCAGTTCTCCCTATGAAGCACACTGGTTCTCTCTGTAAGCACACTGAGCGCTGCCCACAGCGTGCAGAATGCACAGCTAGCAGGCTGCTCTCTGCCGCGCCCACTCGCTTTGGCACCCACTGGCCGAATTATGTGCTTACCAAGAGCCAGCTTGTTCCCAAACCCATTTGTACAGTTTAGCTGGTATTGTAGTTAAGTAACATATTTAAATATCAGATAAACCGATGAGATATGACTGCAAATGAAGTGTTTCTTTTTCTTTTTTTTTTTTTTTTCTATGAACAATAGTTAAAAGCTGTGGAAAGACTCAGTAAGTCCAAGTCACGGAAATACATTACTGTCAAATTAGATGAACATTAAGATTGGGGGACATCATAAAACTAAAATTTTATACTGTGATTACTCTGCAAGTCTACATTTTTACTTCACTTTAAAGAATCAGGAATGAGAAATCATAGACAATGTGTAAGAAAGATGACGTGGAACTCTTACCAGTGGACCCTTACTCAAAGGGCCTTGCCCTACATTAAAAAAATGGGTGAATGAGTGCACATTTATGTGCATTATGCAAAAATAAAATTTTTATATATATATATAATTTTTGTGAGTCCACGGTCTGATTTTTTTGATTAACCTGGATCCTAAACCTGATGACTTTGGGAATGAGGTTTTCTACTGTTGTGATTCAGTTGATAGCTGGTGCGGTTTCAGTTTAGTAGATTTAGGGAATTTTATTTTGCATATGGTATAAACTTAATAAAACCAACATTAGTGGGACTTTTTAAACTAGGATTTTAAAGCAAATTAAGGTGACTCATTCTGGATTTTAGTAGATTCTTTGGTTCCTCTTGTAGACTTGCAGCATATTGAGAGATCTAATTCCCTCTTTTTATAAAATACAAGTGAGGACACCAAAGCCCGTCAGTGGTAAATCTGTGTGAGGTGGCTGGAGTGAAGAGCAGAGCAGAGCCACCATGGGTGGGTCCCTCGCTTCTAGCCTCCTCTGTAGGTTCTCTGTCTGGCCCCAGAGCTGGAGCTCGCCATGATAAGAGTGATTCTCTGGGTTGACTTCTCTGGTGATGGTACTGATCTGTGTTCCCTCTTTGGGACAGGACCAACCTGGAGGCCTTGCAGAAGAAGCTGGAGGAGCTGGAGCTTGATGAACAGCAGCGGAAGCGCCTTGAGGCCTTTCTTACCCAGAAACAGAAGGTGGGAGAACTGAAGGATGACGACTTCGAGAAGATCAGTGAGCTGGGGGCTGGCAATGGCGGAGTGGTGTTTAAGGTCTCCCACAAGCCTTCCGGTCTGGTCATGGCCAGAAAGGTGAGTCTGCCTTGATAAACGGGTAATTAGGTTATCTCTCCGGCTACTGGGAGGCCTGGGGACAAGAGTAGAAGGAAGACTGACTCACCAGTGCCTTTTTGTGCTGTTCGAATTTTGAACTCATGTAATCTGTCAGATAGTGGATAAGCACACTAATGACTGTGTTAGTGTATTAATCCCTATCCCCAGTCTAGAACATAACAACAAGTGACCCTTCCTTAACTTTCTGTGTGCTGTAGAAGGAATTCCAGGGTGTCTGTTTGTCATTTATCAAGTGCGGGAGAAGCTGCTTTCATTGAACCCACCCTAGCAACGCACAGCACACTGATTTCAAGTTGGTTCCCTGTGTTCTGGCCCTTCATCTCCCTGCATTATAACATCTGGACTCCCCACCGTGGCATGCATTGTCTGAGTTGGACTTCCCTTTCCTGTGTACCCTTGGTCCTCTTTCTGAACACAGCCTCCTGCTCCAGAGAGGTTGGAGTCTTCCATGTTTTTCTGCACATTGTGTTCACTCCTGTCGCCGTATTTTTGCTTGTGCTGCTCCATCTTTCCAAACAGTGCGCATCTTTAAGGCTTACCCCCTGTCAATCTTTCACTAGCTGCTGCAGCCCACACTGATAACCACTGCTTCCATGTCCTCCGACACTCGTTGTTGGTGGCATTTTTTAGAAGCTCAACCTTATTAGGTAACTATTTAATATGGCTTTCCTTCATCTGCCCAGCTGAACAAGGGAAAATATTAGAGGGACATAAGGTAGCTCTTGAGACTTTGGCTAAATCTCAACCACATCAGGCTCTTGAGCGCAAGGAGAAATCTCTTGGGCAATTTAGGCCAGCATACCTTAGTTCCTCATACCCTTCTATCCCCACAACCCTTGAGTATGAACCAAGTCCTCTAAGTCAACTTTCTCCTTGTATCTCAGCTCCAAAGGTCATTTTGCACTAAGGCCTCCATTTAGCTTTGTTCTTGGGAGGGGTGAACCCCCGTTCCCTGGTCTTGAGCTGAAGTACAGCTGGTCCTCTCCTGCTTGCAGCTCTCCATTGCTAACACTTGCCTTTGTACACTGACACTCACTACTTTGGTTGAACAGAAACTTGTTTTTTTTCCAGTTTGCTATATTGTAATTTTATTTAAAAATGTGAAACGCTTCACCAATTTGCGTGTCATCCTTTCGCAGGGGCCATGCTAATCTTCTCTGTATGGTTCCAATTTTAGTGTATGTGCTGCTGAAGTGAGCACCAGAAACTTGTTTGTGAAAACTTGCCTAGTGCCCCCTACCTTTAAGAGCTTAAACATTTAAGAAAGATTCCATCTATTAGGCTGGGCACAGTGGCTCACACCTGTAGAATCCTAGCACTTTGGGAGGCCAAGGCGGGAGATCTCTTGAGACTAGGGGTTGGAGATCAGCCTACACAACATAAGACCCTGTCTCTACAAAAAAAAAAAGGTTCCATCTATCTTCCCTTCCTCCTTTTCTTCCTTCCATAAAACCCTTCTTCCCCTCCCACCTTTCTTTCCCCAGCTAATTCATCTGGAGATCAAACCCGCAATCCGGAACCAAATCATAAGGGAACTGCAGGTTCTGCATGAGTGCAACTCTCCATACATCGTGGGCTTCTATGGAGCATTCTACAGTGATGGCGAGATCAGTATCTGCATGGAACATATGGTATGTGGTGGCCTGTTGGCCTCTGGCGCAATGGCCTGGAAATTGGGTGGTTCTGGCCTAATCTTTGGTCTGGGTGGAGACCAACTGCCTTCCTGCTGCTCTCTGGATCCACATCACTGTCCTGGGCATCTGGGAAGCCTGACTGTAGAACTCGGGATATTCACGAGGTGACAGGCCTCCTTCCTAGGTCTCTGCCTCTCTCTAAAGAGAGGTGGAAGTATCCCTGGTGGGTGTACCTAGAGCACATTGCCTAGTTGAGTTCTGGGGTTATGAAGATGAGTGAGACAGTTCTCCCTCTAGAGAGTTTAAAATCTACTTGAAGGGCAGCCTGAAGGGCTTCTTTGGGTATGAAGAGAAATAATGCCCCCTTGTGCAGGAGAGGGCAGAGGGCATTTATGGGCTGATTATATGCATGGGAGCTGCTAGTCTTTTTACCATTGTATGCTTTGAGTCCCTTCCTTCTCTTCCCAGTGACTAACAATAATAATAATGTTAATACTAATAATAAACTAGTATTTATTGGATATATATTATATCAAGCACTATCCTAAGCAAATCAATATTTTATTACATTTTTACAACAACCTTTTTGGGCAGGTACATTATTCCCATTTCACAAATGAGGAAACTGAAGCACAGAGAAATTGAATAACTTATTCTAGGTCATGTGGCTAGTTAGTGGTATTGGTAGAATTTAAACCAAGGCCGTCTGACCCCCAGTGCCTATACTTTATTGAGTCCACAGGATAGTGATTAGGGAATTGGGGCTCTGTTTCCATCCTTGAAAACAAAGAGGCTGGCTTTATGGTTGCTTTTTTTCTTTTTTTTATTCCCAGTAGGCAGCATGGCATGGGAGTTTGGAATCTGACAGATGTATTTTCACATCTCCTTTCTCCAAAAAAATCCGTGTAGGGATTTTGTCTTGTTTCCTACTGTGTCTCCAAAGCCAAGAATAGTCCTGGCATACAGCAGGTGCTCAGTAATTGTTTATTTACTGATTGTCACCTTCTCATGGTGACCTTGGGGCAGATTTCTTTCTTTCTGATACTCAGTTTCCTCATCTGTAAAATGGCCATTATTATACCTGCCTCGTTGTGATAAAGATTAATCAAAATAACAGATGCAAGTCTTCTAACACACTGTTTGGTGTAGAGAACGTGTTCTACAAACGTTAGCTTTTGCTTTACTCTCTTTATTACTTGCTTTATTCACTGGGCTGATGCGAATCTTCATACTTGCTGGCTTTCAGTTCAGCATGGTGTCCTTCAGCTCCTCCTCCATCTTCTTCCTGACTCCAGATCTGCCCTGACCTCCAGAACGAGAGCCCTGGTGCCTGGTCTTAATTAACTTCGGGAGAACCTTCCCAGGAGATTTTTCTCTTGCTGGTGCCCCCATTATTTTGAGTGTCTCTTCGTTTTAATGATCAAGAAGTGCTGCATATACTGTTACAGGCATCTGCCGACATTTGTGGGTGCCACATGGAACCTAAATCTTAAAAACGTCTTCTGCATGTCTCAAGGTTATTGAGAAAGCTCTCATTCCCTCTTGCCTCAAAAGGTGTGAAGCAGTCTCAGTGAGATGTGTGTGGACAGTTCTGGCTTGATCCCAGCCCCTGGCCTGGGTGCTGATTATTTTCCACTTGGGTCTCGGCCTCCCTCAGGGAGCTGTTTCTTATCCCGTGGGTTTCTTGTTTTCTTTTTGTTGGTGATGATTGATTTTCAGCTCTAGCCCAAGAGTTTTGAATGCAGATGTATAAATGGCAATGGAGGTGCTGGAAAACTAGAAGGGGAAGATCGTGGGGGCAGTAATAATAAACCAGTGACAGCAAAGGCCAAAGGACCCTTTTTTCCTCTTAGGTCTTGCTGAAATAATAGAAGGTGGGTGGCGGCATGACTAGGCATAATAGCAATTAGCTTTCAAACCTTCCTCCACTTGCCAAGTCCTTTTCACATTATTGAAGTTACTAATTGTATCAGCCCTATCATGTGAGATAGATTGATTGACCCCCCCGCCCCCCACCGGGCCCTTTTCTGTGGTCATATCCTATGTTTCCATGATTTTTGGCACTTGTAGCCAGTGAGAGTTTACATTAGTTAATCAACATGGGTTCAGCTTCACACATATTTTTAGTCATTATTATGCACAAGATGCCATGTGAGCTGCTGAGAGCTTGGAGACCTTGAGAGCAGCATCTCTGTCCCCCAGAGCTGTTCAAGGCTGGATGTCTGTGTTCTAGTAGCTTCTCAAGTGAGAGGTGTCAGTGCGGAAATGAGAGCTGCTGAGCACCAGGCGCATGTCATCTCATGCCTGCTCTCTTCTGAACCGTCAGAAATTCTTTCCTGAGTTACCTCTAAGTTCTGTACTACCCAGAATTGTCTTTTTAATTGGGGAACCGGGAGGCCATTTGTGGGGTGAGTATGGTTGAACTCCAGAGTGCTTACTTTAGAGGTTAGGATCAGGCCCCAAATGTTGATAGGTAGTAGCCTATGCATTTATTCAGACCCTGAGGGGACCTCTTTTGCCAGCCTGAATGTCCCCCTGCCGTGTGAATAGGACAGTCTTTTTATTTGTCTCACATTCGACCTCTTTTGAGATGCTGAGGAATCTCATTCTGGAATCCTTCTTTATTCACCCTGCATTTTAGGATGTGTGCATTGATCACGTCCTTTGTGCCCCTTGCTGTCCCCCAAGGAATTTGGCTCTCGGGGAATAGTGAGATGCTCCCAAACAAGTCCCCAAAGCAGAAGACGTTTCTGGAATTACCCTGGGGAGCCTGAGCCTGGAAAATTGGCAGTCAGAGGCTGGGAGGGAAAACTCTCTTGAGGGCCAAGTACAGTGTCTGACACCTATTAGGTGGTATTGTGTTAAATGGCTGAATTTGGGTGGCCAGGATGGGGCTCAGTGGGAGAGAGGTAGGCCTTGGAGTCTACAATAAGTGTACATAGTCCCAGAGCGTGACTCTCAGAGCTGCCAGAGGGTCTAGACAGGACTGTGTGTAGGAAGCAGTTGTACCTGAAGTCCAAGTAGCTATGAGTGCCAGAGTAGCTTTCTGTTCCAGCTCTGGACACTCTCACCTGTTCCTTGTTCCCTGAGGTCCTCTTGCAGGAGAGCCCCTGACCCAGCAGCCCCTGACTAGAAAATTCTGACTGCTGGCTGCTCCTTCTCTTGGACTTTCTGCTTTGCCTCAGCTTTAGCATTTCAAAGGTAGTGTCATGCAGAGAGCTCTGCTCCATAGCTGCATCCCAACTTCCGAGGTTCTTTGGTCCTCGCTGTGTCATAGTCTTTGCATGGTGTTCTGCGTCATTAACATTTTCCCCAACACTTTGTTATGAAAATTTTCAAGTGTACAGAAAGTTGAAAATTATAATTTATAGTGTACGTCCATAAACCCACCACCTAGATTCTACAGCTAACATTTTGCTATATTTGCTTTACCATATATTGTCCATATTCTATCCATTGCTCAAATCGCTTTTGTGGGATGTGTTTTAAAGTAAAGTCATGTCATTGGCATTCATTGAGCCCCATCTTGTAAAGCATTCAGCCAGGGACTGACCTTACCTAAAAATAAGCTGTGTGTGCACTGCTCAGTCTGAATTTCGAGACCCAAGGGGGAAATGGATGCTCCCTGATGAGAACAGGAATGCTTTTGTCCTTGGGGAAGTAGATTCCTGCTCAGGTGGTAGCTGAGCAACCAGAGAACTGGGGACTCAGAGTTGATGGTTCTCATGCAGGAGTAAAAGCTTTTGAGCTGCTATTTTCATAAAGCATTTGTCTCTTCTATAGAAAACCTTCACAAAAGCACCATTGACTTAGTTAATAATTGACTTCTAAAAATAAGCACAGTTACAGCAGCTTTAGTCATTGAAGGCAAGTTCTCGGCAACAGTGAAGCAGAATTAGAAGGTTGTAGGGTTAGTTGCAGGCAACCCTGTTAATCCTGACTGGCTCGTGCCCCTTGTGTTTCATAATTCTGCTGTTCACACTGTAAATCTGCTTGTAGCTCAGTGAAGGTTAAAGAGAAGAGCACTCACATTTCTTTTTTTTTTTTTTAATAGAAATATTTACCTTACCCAGCTCCCAGGGAAAGCATAAACTGAGATGGTTAGCTGGGTTGCCCTGTGTCCAAGGCTGCTGTTCGGGTCAGTTGAGAGGTAGTGCTGTCCATTGCTGAAATGGAGGAAGGAACTTGAGAACCATAGGGTTAGCTTTTCTACCTCATTTGAATCTTATTTTGACAGAGTGGCTTTGTTATTTTGTTTTAAGTATGTAGTCCCCCCTGATGATTAGGCAGAGCTATTCAAACAAAGGAGCTGAAGCAATATTCAGTTGGAGGCAAAATAGAAATAGTCTGGGAACTTTCTCCTAGAATCTCTCTTACCATTGGTAAAGGAAATTGAGAGGGGCCTGCTGGCTTAGGTGTGGTTACCTGGGCTGTGGTGGTGTCCTGATTTTGCCGCAAGGGGCCTGTGGCGTTGTAAAAGCAGCCGGGATCGTAGGATTGATTTGATTGCTGGAGCCTCAGCTTGGCTAAGAGCTCTTGGAAAATAAGTATGTTTCTAGGGGAGTTCTGTTTGGTTTTAGATGGATGATTTTATACTTCTCTACCTGTGTGGAGGTTACTATGGCACATTTGAAATTTTAGGATGAATTTCAGGGATCTTCCACTGTGCTCCTTGATCGACTCACCCACCATTGGGTAGTCATACTAGGGAGTTTATTATGATCAGATGTCACACATAATCAGGGATGTTGATGTGCTGGGTGAAACTACCCTGAATTTGAGAATCCACACCTGTACCATTTTTCTTTTCCATTAGCAACAATGATCCACGGTTGACTGTAACAGAAATTGATTGGTCCAAACTGTCCTTTTAAGTTATTATATAATCTGCTTTTAGCATTGTTTCAGGTAATATTTCTTGGGAGATCTGCACTCTCGAATAAGTCTTATTTATTTTCTTACCTCTTCTAGAAAGAAAGCAGTTTTGTGTCTACCTACCAGTGCCTTTGCAAACAATGGGTGCTCAGTACCGTTAATTGATTTATAGATTTAATTCTCTACTTTCATAAATGAATTCAGTAAATATAAAAAGGTAAAAAAAATTATTCATTGTAGAAAATTTATAAACAATAGAAAAGCACAAAGAAGAAACTGTCATACAACAAAAATCCCTGATCATCTTACCGCCTAGACAGAAGGTTAACATTTTTGATTTTGTGTGTGTATGTACTTTTTTTGTTTTTATAGAAATGGAATTATGCTCTGTTCTTCTTTTATTTATTATGTTGTATATTGTTCCATGACCTCACATTTGATGGCTGCATCATAGAGGCTAGGATGGATTTGGAGGCAGGCTGTCTGTGGGACCTAACTTCTTTCTGCTCATCCAGGTTTTGCCCACCTCCAAGGCTCCAGTTCCCTGTCACTCTTGTTTTGAGCGTTTCCCTTAGCAACTTTATCTAGGAATCACTTCTTCTTCTGAGCACCTGTAGCATCATCTATTGTCTTCATTCAGCTATTTGTTCCTGGCGTCGTTTCAGAGGTGAATTTAGGTGCCTTGCTTCTTAGGAATATGTTCTGTCTCTCTAAGGAGAAGGAGTGTTCTATATGTATCTAATGTTTTTTTGTCTCTCTCATCCTTGTGTATCCCTATGCCTTATACAGAGTCATTTGATAATGATA